AGTGATCGTTTGATATATGGACCTGCAGCGGAGTTTAGACCCAGACACGGCTAGTGACGTCAGACTGAACAACCGGATACAGACTAAAAACAGAGGCTTTCAATTAGGTTAGTTGAGTAGACGTGCGGGACAATCCACCACAGATTCTAAAACTGACTGTAACTGCCCAGATATGAACCACCTGTCTGCTGAAGAACAGTCCGCCAATGAAAAACAAGCCTGAAGTTAATGTGCCAATCAGAATGACCCATCATTCCCATATATTTAAATTCACCATCTGAAAACAACTGCCAACAGCTTTCAGTGTTACTGCAGCAAATACTGTGACAAATCCCTGTGAAATCTGCCTCCGTACATTTGTTGAACAAAAGTTTCAAAATCAAGACCATAACCGTGAGGGTGCTGAGGACTTGTCCTACACAACGGTGTGTGTTTTATGTTCCTGATGTCAATAAAGTGGTCACATGAGCAGTTTAAAAAGTAGGGTCTTCCCTGCTGTTGAGACAAGGTCCTCACTGAAAACACTATCTAGTTTTTTATGTTCTATGCTTCAGTTAGAAGATTCATCCTCTACTTGGATCCACACATTTCTAAACATTTACATCCCTTAGCTTTGAGAAATGCACTGTTTAAAAGAAGAAAAACAGTCCTAAGTTTTGAGGGTAAAACGATGACTGTAGAGTGAAAACTGTGGAAACTGCAGCAGTTGAAAGACTCATTTTTGATTTTCCATCAAATATATCAAATTTGACCACATCTGCCTTTCTTTCAAGTTGACCTGAATATTTGTTGTTTTTACTGCAAGCACTTGGCAACTTCCTAAAACATGTTTATATATAAAATTACTTGATTTACCTTAAAAGTACATGCTGCTCAGATAGTGAGCTGCCGTGGTAGAGATTTGCGCTCGCAGGGTGCTTCTTCAGCATTCTGTTACTCACAGGCCAATACGATGACTCTCCACTAGGTGGAGCTGGTGTGCTTTATGTCTGAGCTCACAGGAGAAGAAGAATGAACCTTAACTCTTCCTGTTGAAGAGGACAGAGCAGAACACAGAAGTAAATGTTTATATGATGATACTAAAATCGCCCAATCAGGGAAGGTGACAGTGTCTGGGGCCGATGTTGACGCTCAGGTGCGTTTTGGGATCATCCGCAAAGTTTCTGGTCTCGTTCCCAGCTTTGAGGCACAACACCAGGCTGCAAAACAGGTATGTTGTTGCTTATTCATACAGCTGTGAGCTAGCCTTTGTAACAAAGTGTCATGAATTTGCAAATTTTGGGTTATGTCAGCAAATAAGAGCATAACAACTTGAAGAGTTGGTTCAAATACTGATTTATTTGTAGGTTTCGTTTTACAGATGTCTACCTGTCCTTGAAAGCCACAGTGAGTGCAGTGAGCTGCAGTCAGTAACTGTATAACAGAGTAGTAAGAGCAGTAGTTAATGATCAGCTGTGGTGGTGGTTGACCTGAAAGTTTTCTTCAGTCTGCAGCTGAAAAACAACCTCTTCTCTGCGCAGCATGTCCGGCTCACTTCGCCCGCTGGCTGCTGTCTGTCAGGTGACAGCCACCCCTGACAAAGAGGCCAACTTCTCTGCCTGCAAACAGCTGGTGGAGGAAGCCAAGCAGCGAGGGGCCAGCATGGTCTTCCTGCCTGAGGGCTTTGACTACATTGGATCCAGCAGAGAGGAGACACTGGCGCTGTCAGAGAGCCTGGCAGGAGACACGATCTCCAGATACACTCAGCTGGCCAGGTAAACACACAGCCTTCAGGCTCTTTTATCCAGCGCCAACAATGAAACGCACTGGAGAGATTAACTTCTCACTAACTGCTTAAGTGCAATGTTGGTAAAATCAGCTTGTTAAGGCAAAATGTGCTCTTGGTTTCATAGTGTGCATGAACTGGAGTCAACTGGAAACGTGTGGATAAGTATTTAAATCGCTGTTTCTTTCAGGAAGTTGGAGTTGTGGTTGTCTCTTGGAGGATTTCATGAGAGGGGACACGACTGGGAGGCTGACCGACGGATCTACAACAGTCACGTCATAATTAACGACAGAGGTGCTTTTCCGCTGTCTGCCCTCCCTCCCTTCCTGTCTCTGTTTAAAGCCCCTTTAAAATAAATCTAGTTCATTCACGCTGACACGCTGTCGTTTCCTCCACAGGTGACATCGTTTCAGTCTACAGGAAGTCCCACTTGTTCGATGTGGAGCTGCCAGAAAAAGGCGTGTCCCTCAAAGAAAGCGCTTTCACCATTCCTGGACCCTCCCTCGTGGCCCCGGTCCAGACTCCAATCGGAAAGGTGTCACTTTAAGAGATTTTAAACATGCAAATTAATTTTAATTCCTCTTATTAAATTAAACATTTAGTTATTTAGGGGTTCAAATGTAAGCTAAGGTTGCTATAATCATGGGAATCCAGTCAGAATGCAAAAGAAAGCAGTGATTCTGCAGCTGGTTTTATTTTACAGTCCTTACATGTGTGCCAGGTGAGGTCATTTAAGATAAAAGAAACTCAGAGAGGAAATGAGGGAAAGATGACAACTGAGAAAAAAGGTAAATGAAATAAGAATATTTACTACAGTTTTCATGCTGGTTTCACAGAAACTTGAAGTTTCTCTTTACATTTAATGTTAAATATCCACCAAAAGTAAGTCAGGGTTATTTATCCTACAAGGTCTTGTTTGGACTACTTCAAAGATGATGATTTGCAGTGTTTGAAACACCAAAGCACTGATTAAGTGCAGTAACATTAAGGTGGGCATGTGCACTTTGTGTTTCTACTGACCGTGTGCTTAATCCAGGTGGGCTTGGGCATCTGCTACGATCTAAGATTTCCTGAGTTGTCGGTCGCCCTGCAGAGGCACGGGGCTGAGATCCTGACATACCCGTCAGCCTTTACTGTAGCCACAGGAGCTGCTCACTGGGAGGTGAGCTGGCTCATTATGGGACAGCTGGATTGCTGAGAGATATAAACCAACATAAAAATGTCCCTTTAAATGAATTCACACTCAGGTGTTACTACGTGCCCGGGCAATTGAGACCCAGTGCTTCGTCCTGGCAGCGGCACAAGTTGGACGCCACCATGAGAAGCGCTCGTCATACGGACACGCCCTGGCCGTGGACCCCTGGGGCGAGGTGCTTGGTGACTGCGGGGAGGAGAAGCCAGGTTTGGTGCTTGTGGAGGTGGACCTGGGGAAAGTTAGAAGCACAAGGAGGAACATGCCGGTCCAGCAGCACCGCAGAGACGATGCCTTCTACCGCAGCCTGCCTCAAACCTGAGAGGAACGTGGGAGGTGTTTAATGATGGATCCACAAATCAGGATGTCTGTAACAGGCGGCAGAATAAGGTGTCTTTTTTTCACTTCAGACTTCAAGCATTAATAGGAGATCAAAAAGACATCATTGTGAGCTCAGAATCAACAAACCGAGGTGGTGGAAATTTTTCTTTCCTGTGTGGAAAGAAACCGTCAGTGTTTTTACATCAGTAGTTGACAGAAATTGAGGAAGTTCAAATTAGTTTTCTCTGCTCATGATGGAGAAATCTGAGATGTATTGATTTAAACTCTGAGTCATCAGTGTAGTAGGTCATCTTATTTCCAGTTATTAAAGCTCACTCAGCCTTTTAGCTCTTCCGATAAAGAAAATAATTCTAAAATCATCCCGCGAGTCTGTGACATTACTCCTTCTCATCAATAGGTGGTGCTGTTGGCCAATAAGAGCACAGGAAGGGAGGAAAGCAAAATCTTGCAGTAAGAGAAGATATTGTGAAAGATGTGATGAGAAACAGCGGGGTTAAAACTGAATTGTCTTTCACAGTTAATTTATTAAAATGTGAATTATCTAAAAACACGACACTGTTTGTTTTCTTGTGTTCACTAATAAAAAAATGAGTCTTTGCTTTTCTTCAGTGATGACTTGTTTCTGTCTGATGGGTCAAAATCCCAGCTCCAGCAAGAAACTTATGCATACAGTTAAACATGTATAACAGCTCTAAATATGAATATTAATACGAGCAGTCATGCACTAAGGTTTAATGCTTGTTGGTGTCGTTTTTTTAAATTGGAAAAAACAAAAAACACAGCATGTTTTCAGGTCCATGGGTGCATCCACAAATCTTTGCTTCATATTTGGGTAATATTCTTGCCTTATTTATTTTTGTAGGACAAAGTGACCACACAATAAAAACCCACATGCAACCAGAAACACACACAATCAAATAAAATCAAATATTAACTAAATGAACCTGGATGAACACATTCAAGAGGTGTAAAAAAACCAAAACAAAACACCTTTATTCTCAGAAATGTTTGGTTTTGAAAACATGACCAAACCATGAATGTAAGTTGTTTGTTTTTTTCTTAATTGAAGCCCAGTATTTTATTGAAGAACAGCTGACAGCTGAAAATCGTTGCAACTTCCAGCAACCTCTAAAAGCTTGAAATTCCTATTTTCATCATATACATGGCTGCTGTTAGGGAATACATATTTTCCCCAGGGATCGGTGTGATTGGTGTTTGCCAACCATTCTCCTAGGCCAGTGTGAGTGCGGCTTTAACCAGACAGACTGACAGAAAGAGGACAGAGATAACAATCCCGATCTGTCGCTCACCTGGAGTCAAGTGGGTAAGAGACAAAACACAACTTTACTTTAAAGTTGTGTTTTATTTTAATTTTAGTCAACAAGATTAATTTAAGGCTTTATTTGTGGATTTAATTGCCACTTTTTTCATTAACTATGTCCGATTATATTGTGTCCGTCCATCCCAGTGTCATGATTTGCTCTCTTGAAGGCCTCAGGGGAATTCCTTGACATCTGGGACAAAGTTCACTCAGACTGAAAAATGAGCTGGTTAGATTTTTATGGTCAAAGGTCAAGGTCATTGAAACTTCACTTCTTTCCACTGGTCCACTGGCCAGAAATGATGACTGTTTCTGGTGCAAGTAGTTTGGACAGCCATGTTTCTGCACACTCCTCGAATTTGGACATTTCACAGTGCACAAGCTTATCCACTGCATTGCATAACTTAAAACTGATTGAAATGGTTGAATTTTGTGATTAGTCGAACAACACACGTCTGTGCAGCAGCGCCTTCGGTCGTCTCTGTCTGTTCGGTTGCAGTGTGGGATGAATAATTGATCAGCTGCTTCCAGGCTGTTGTGCTATCACAGAGACGGTGGGTGGGAGCCGCTGTCCGCCGATGTCCGCCGCTGCTGCTGCTGGAATATGATGGGAACAGGAAGTGAACGTCACTGACACAGGAATGGGACTGAAAAAAGGAAAACACCACCAGGATGAGGAGAATGTCAAGCTCCTCGGCGTAGGAAACTAAACCCCGGCTTCAGCTCAGGAAAAGGATGAACTGCTGCGTCCGAGCTGGATTTGAGGCATCAGGAAGGTACGTTTGCTGTCATTTGCGGGTGCTGAGGTGAAGGTTAGCCAGCTGTGTGCTGGAGAACAGAGATGTGTGTTTCATCCTCCGAAGCTCTCCGTCCATCCACCCGTCCTCCTGTAGCTGTCAGATTCAGTGAACTTGGCTTCATTTCTCATCCTCGGCGCTGTCGAACAGGTGCTAGCGGGTTTGCTAGCTAGCTGTGGATACTAGCCTGGCTCCGCGTCGATGCCCCTTCAGTGGAAATTTACTGTTAGCCTGGCTGCACGTTTCACTGTGTTTTGCAAACAGTTTGCTGGAGTCAGGCCCTCGGGTTGCAGCTCAGGGTGAGTCTAGCCGGGGCTGTTGTCTTGTTGTTGTTGTTTTTTTCCTGTTTACCCTGTAATGCAGATGTAATAGTAGTGCACGCGCGGCTAACTGCCGAGCTCGTGTGGGTGCGAGAAAGGACTGTCGGTGCGATTCTGTTTCTGCCATGCTGCCTCTGACAGGGTTGTTTTTCTTCATTGGAGCCGAGGAAGCATCAGTGCGTCTGTACCTGTGCAGCTCTGGAGCTGAAAGCTGGCTTTTCCTTGTTTAATATTATATATAGGAGCATTTTTAAGCTATAACTCACTTACTAACTAACTGTCAGGGACTTTAAAAAAGTTGGTCTGCAGGTCAAGCGCTGCATCTTTACAGTGGTGTTGTTTTCTTTTCGTGCACCAGATAATTCAGCATGATGTTATTAAATGAGGTTTTCTCTGGGGTGTTTTCTACAAAGTGGAAAATAAATTTGAAAACTGATGAGTATTTTTTTTAGGCATAATGTCCCCAAATCACTGAAAGTAGTAGCTTTCAAAAAGTGAACGTTTTCAGGCTTTCTGTGAAGGGAAACGGATTTTTTTTGTATCCTTGATTATTTGAAGTTGACCTATTATGCTGTCATGTGCATGAAGTCATAATTGTGGTCGCTGTTATTTATCACAACCATACAGGTCAGAATTACAATACACTCACCATGTGCAGAAATGTTATGGTGATTTTAAACTGTTCTTTTTCCAGGCTGGAATGATTATACAGCAATGAGTTTAAAAACAAATCTTGGTTCACAAGTTTGAATTTACTTCCGATTGGCTCAAATCCATTCAAAATTACATATATATGTAAAAGCTGAAATATATACATACATTCCCACTAGTATTTGTTTAAATGTCCCTAAGCAAGTCACATCTCGATGCTTTTTGTAGTCATCAACAAGCTTCTGAATATTGGCTACTCTTCTTGGCAGAAGGTGTGGAGTCCATTTAAATTGGTTGGTTTGCTAGCATGGTCTCTGCTGTTAGGCGCAGTCCACAAATTTTCAATAGGGTTGAGGTCAGGACTTTGGGGAGGCTATTCCAGAAGCTTAATGTTAGCCTGATCGATCCAAAACCACATCTGAAGTGTGTTTGGGATCATCGTCGGTTTGGACACCCAAATGTGTCCAAGTTTTATCTGTCTTGCTACTGATTTCAAGTAAAGTTGAAGAATTCGGAGGAAGTTCTCCTTTATTATTATTCCTCCACTTTGTGTAATGTACCAGTACCACTGGCAGCAAAACAGCTCCTGAGCATGATGCTACCACAACTCCCTTTAATGCTGACGAAGAGAAACGACCAGTTTTAGTTGCTCATGATCACTAACAACAAGTTATTAAACCTTGGCCAAGTCAAGATAAAAATGTTGAAAAAGACTTAAAATTATTCAAAAACAAGAATTGGATGCATAAGTTTCTTGTTCTTTCTTGTTTTTTGAAAGAAATTAAAGATGTATGGTGGCAGCCCGGCGTTTAGCACTGTTGCCTCACAGCAAAAAGGTCCTGAGTTCAATTCCACCATTGGGCCAGTGTCTTTCTGTGTGGAGTTTGCATGTTCTCTCTGTGTCTGCGTGGGTTCTCTCCAGGCAATCCGCCTTCCTCCCACAGTCCAAAGACATGCAGTTAGTGGGGTTAGGTTAACTGGGGATTCTAAATTGCCCATAGGTGTGAATGTGAATGGTTGTCTGTCTCTATGTGTTAGCCCTGTGACAGACTGGCAACCTGTCCTGGGTGTACCCTGCCTTAGGAGAGCTGGGATAGGCGACTCTGATAAGGCTAATTGGAAGAGGATGGATGGATTAAACATGCATGTAGATGTATGCTGTACAACCATTTCACACTGGAGAAAGGCTGGAGCCTGTCCCAGCTACCATAGGGCAAAAGGCGGGGTACACCCTGGGCAGGTCGACAGTTTTACCCTGGATAGGTCGAGAGTCCAGAGACACGCAGTTAGTCTTTGGACTGTAGGAGAAAGCCGGAGTATCCGGGGAGAGAACCCACGCAAACACAAACTCCACACAGAAAGGTCCCAGCTTGATGGTGTATGAGTAAAAAAAACTTTTGGTAGAAAAATATTTTTAAGTGGATCTAATATTGAGTTTTTCAAATACTAAAAATGTTCCTCATCAGGAACATCTAGTTATGAAATCCACCGATTGCATGGTTGATAAATCATGCAGTTTTTGGTTGTGTTTAACTTCCTGAACTGTAACGAATGATCATCACAAATGACCTAATAATCATTTTTTTAACTGTTTTTAAGCAACTTTCAACACTTCAAAAGACTGAATTCAAAATAAATATATAGACAAAAATAGTGAATCCCCACTTTTACAAAGCTGGAATTACAATATGTACTAATCAGTAATAATACTTTTAGATTTCTTTTAAGTCAACTAAACATTTCTCCTGTAAAAATCATGTCAAACACATGATGTGAAATGTGGGATGCTGCAGACACACAGATATTCTGTGTGATTATGAGCCTGATCATGATCAACATTCATATTAATATTCATTTTTATTCTATTCACGTAGCTCTGACATTAAGTTGTTGACAAAGTGACCTTGACATTGAAAAAATTCTTAATATTATGCATAACCTATCTATCTATCCACTTAGCACTTTAATTCTTATTCTTATTCTTATTTTTATATTTTTATGACAGTATGTTGCACTGAAGCACCGCAGCAATTTCCTAATGTTGTAAACCTGCTCAACATCTGGCAATAAACCCTTTCTGATTTCTGATTTCTGATTTCTGAACCTCATGGTGATGTTCCCTTACTCTTGTATATCCATCTGTGTTTAAAAACCCGGTGTGTGTGTGTGTGTGTGTGTGTGTGTGTGTGTGTGTGTAATTTCTGATTAGCCGGTAGTCCCGTCACAGCACAATCAGCATCTGTGGCGCTTTCACTTTTTCCACCCTGGCAGACACAGACAGGTCAGACCAAAGGCGCTGCAATGCTCTTTATCTGATTTGCTCTCTGCTGGGTTAATCAGCACTCACAGCAGCTCGTTCAACTGTTTCTCTCCCTCCTATCCACTTATGACCTGGACTGTAAGCTTTGCTGCTTGCTATGTTGTAGGTCAGATTACACACACTGCCTGAGACTGGTTGAACATT